ATAGAAGAGAAATAAGTCATTGAAGGGCCTTAATCATTTCTGGAAGCTACAATTAATTACTAGCTTTCCCTAAAGATTTAGAGATATAAGTATGCAGCATTATCCAAATGAAATTGAATGTACATTATTGAACATCAAACACATCACGTCTTATGATTTAGATAAAAACTTACATTATGAGAAAGAAAAATATACTAGAGAGAATGTTTTTTGACGGGATAAAAAAAGCATCCTATTGGGCTTTACATAAGTGAACTCTAAGAGGAATAGTATTATTAGCAGAGAGAAGATACATATTCAAGCCCTGTACCCAGGTTTTGTTCTGTTTTATTATTTTTGTGATTTATATTTTCATTTTTTAAGAAATTTTTAAAAAGTGAATTGAAATAAATATATTGCTACTAACATATTTGTGTTTACTATATGGAGACTTTTTATTTAATTATTTACTAATATTTGTTACTTTTCTTATTTGCTTACTAAATGAAACAATTATTTTAAAGCACTAGATCAAAGTTTTACAGATGTTTAATTTATTATGATGAGAGTCAGAGTATCCATTTTGGTATGATGCATAATTTTATCATTTCATTCCAGGGAGAGGAGTGTGGTAGCAGACATGGGCAACCTCACCATCATCACAGAATTCCTCCTTATGGATATCACAAGCTCTCGGGAGCTCCAAGTCTTGCAAGGTCTGCTTTTCCTACTGATTTATCTGGGATCCATGGCTGGAAATATTCTAACTATTACCGTCATTATAACAGACATGCACCTTCATTTCCCAATGTACTTCTTTATAGCCAACTTATCCTTGCTAGACTTTTGCTGTATTTCAGTAACGGTCCCCAAATCGGTTTTAAATTCTCTGATGGACAGTAAAGTGATTTCTCTCAGAGAATGTGTGACTCAATTTTTCCTGTTTATCTTATTTGCAGTCACCGACTTTTTTTTCCTCGTGGTCATGTCCTATGACCGCTACGTTGCCATTTGTCACCCTCTGCATTATCCGCTCATCATCACCCCACAGTTGTGCATACAGGTCTCAGGGGGCACGTGGGCCAGTGGGCTGGTGTATTCAGCAATCCATACAGGCACCATGTTCAGGCTGCCCTTCACAAAATCCAATGTCATTCACCAATTTTTCTGTGACATTCCTCAAATACTGAGCATTTCATCCCAGTCTGTGCAGTTTTCTGAAACAGTGGCTATAGCAGTGAGTTCTGGCTTTGTCTTAATCTGCTTTCTTGTCTTACTCACCTCCTATATTAATGTATTTTCTACTGTGCTCCGGATGAAATCTATGGAAGCCAGAAACAAAGCCTTCTCTACCTGCTCCCCACAGTTAGCTACAGTCATTTTGTTTGTAATCTCTGCGATATTTGGTTGTTTGGGCCCCAGCTTAAATGCATCAACTGTTCAAAACTTTCTTGCATCTGTGTTCTACTCCATAGTGCCCGCCTTTGTGAATCCGATTATCTTTAGCCTGAGAAACAAGGAAATCAAGAGTGCTCTTGGCAGAATGATATTTAGATATTCCAAGTTCCCCTAGGCTTGTTGTTCCTTCTGTGTGTTTGTGTGCTCCTTTGATTTTCTTGAAATAATATTTCAATCACATAGTGTTTAACTTTGACATTCAGATAAAGTAAAAAATTTGATACATTTTGCCTTTTGATAAACAAGGGGGGTATATAAATATACAGTACTTAATCATTTGTAAAAAATTTTACTTAAATTCAATGAATTATTATTACTAGTAGACATGTTTGTGACTATTAATTATTATATGTTAAATATTGGATTAATCGTGCAACTTTACTAATCCTATAGTGTTTTCCATAAAGAAATATACTAGGGCATTAAATCATATTCTCATGTGTTCTCTCATTTTTTGGTAAAGCTTGGTTGAAAACTCAATAATTCTGTAACTGTATTTTTCTTAATTTTTAAAGTGTACATATGATAGTATGCTCTAAGTTATCAATTTCTGCACAAACAAGGATACTTGTCTGAATTTTTCACTTTGTTTCAATATTGTGGTTATTATTGATCAAGTTGTTTCACTCCCATTAATTTAGACTCACTCACCCAAGCTTCATTTTCTGGTTCCACTTACTTGGTGGTGCCGTCTGGTGAGTGTTGGACTGCTCACTACAGGATTAGTTGGTTCAAACAGCAGAATGATGAGACTAGCTGCTCACATAAAGATTTACAATCTCAAAAACCCTCCATGGTAACCATGACTCAGAATGTATTTATTTTTGATGGTGTTTCAGTTCACATTTTGTTCTCATATAGATAATTTTTTAAAGTGAAATACTTATTGATGTCATTCTTCAATTTTTTATTTAAACTGTAATTGTGTAGGTGAAGTTGGTTTGTTTCTATACAGGTAGGTTTTATTTTTTCATTGTTACAGATTTTATTGCATCATATTTATATGATTATATACTTGAATTGTGATTGTTTATTTCAATAGGCCTTCACTGTATGCTCCTGTGTATTTCAATTCACCTGTGTATGTTCCTATATATTTCAATATGGCTGCATTTCACATTTCTGTAAGTTATCATTTTTCAGCTAACAACAGAGAGAAATGCATCATGAAGATATTCTATTTCAGAATTCTAAATGTAGATTTAAGTGCAATATTTTCAATCCAAGATTTAATAGTAGATATAATAAAAGATAATTTTTGTACTCACAACTAAGACAGATTACTGTTTTTGATTTATTGAAGAAAAGAGGTGTACCATACATATAAAAACCTATTATTGAACAAACTCCTCTGTCAAAGTTGTTATTAAAATTAAATCATTAGTCAGGTGGATGAAGGATAATAATATTGTATATGATGTGTATATTAAACACTACTAATGATTCAAATAGATTTCAATTTTTGTGAATATAAATGTCTGCCAGCTGGAAAAAGCTGGTAGAAATCAGAGCTATTTTTAGAAAAGTACAATTTACTATGCTATCTATGATACCTATATTACTTTCCTATAGTAATGTCCTTAAGAAGCACCTTTAGAATGCCTGTTTAGAGTATTCTAAACCCAGGATGCATTAAACAGTTTTATCCTAAAAATTTTAGGGAATTTATACATAGTTTTAAAAGTTGTCATTATTTCTTTCATTTTCATATATAAGTAAACTTGAACTTATACATGTTTGAATTGAAGAGACAATAACAGTCAGGGTATGACTTTCTATTTGTAAATCAAAAAAGTCTTTCTTCTATAAATATTACTGTTACAAAAGGCTAAATTCATATTCAATAAGGATATCTGTGCATATTTGTCCCAGTGCTTATCTAATGATACTAAATGTGAGCAGTATGGATGTCATGTTATTTTGTCTAATTCAAATGGATTGTCTAGTTCAGTAAAGCTGAATGGCCTCTTATAACAATGCAATTTATTTATGTTTTTCTTAATCCTGTTATATATTTGTGTGCACCTTTGATTGACTGGATATAACATTTCAGTCACATAGTCTTTAACTTTGACAATCAAATCAAGTTAAAAATTTGAGACATTTTGCTATTCGACAAACATGGGAAGTATGTAAATAAGCAGTACTTAATTATTTGAAAAAAGCTTTACTTAATTCAATGAATTATTATTACTAGTAGACACTTTTGTGAATATTAATTATTAAATGTTAAAAATTAGGTAGATAGTGCCATTTTAATAATCCCATAGTATTGCTCATGAAGAAAAATACTACGGAATGAAATTACACTCTCACGTGTTCTCTAATTGTTTGAGAAAGCCTGGCTCAAAGCTAAAAATTATCTAAGTGTATCTCTCTTAATTTAAAAACGTACATATCAAAGTATGTTCCAAGTTAACAATTTCTACATATAACATTCATTGAAATTTGTCAGATATTCTCACTTTGTTTCAACATTGTGGTTATTTTTGCTCAAGTTGTTTCACTTGCATTGATTTAGACTCACTCACCCAAGCTTCATTTTCTGGTTCCACTTACTTGATGGGGCCGTCTGGTGAGTGTTGGACTGCTCCCCACACAATTAGTTGGTTCAAACAGCAGAATGATGAGACTAGTGCTCACATAACGATTTACAATCTCAACAACACTACATGGTAACCATGAATCAGAATGTACTTATCGGCAGTGTTTTGGATGGCACATTGTTCTCATATAGATAATTTTTTAAGTGAATACTTAAATGAATTTCTAAAAAAAATTAAACTGTATATTGTCTGTAAGTTGTTTTTTTGTTTCTATACAAGTATTATTTTTCAATGTTACACTTTTAATTGCATCATATTTTTTGATTTTATATTTGAATTGTTATTTTTTTAAATGCCGCCACTGTATGTTCCTGTGTATTTCAATACATCTGTGTATATTCCTGTTTATTTCAATATAATAATATTGCATTGTGCATTCCTGTAAGATATCATTTTCTTTATGTAACTACAGAGAGAAATATGTCATCAAGAAATTCTATTTATTTCAGAATTCGAAATGGAGATTTAAAGTTCAACATTTCCCATCCAAAATTTAATACAGGAGATAATAAAAGATATTCTGTGTACACAAAAGGAAGGCAGATTATCGTTTTGCATTCCTGAGATAAAAGAGAGGCACCATACATATAAAAACCTACTATTTCACAAATGCTTCCTGCAAATTGTATATTTAAAATAAATATACAATGAAAAATAATAATATTGAATATGTTGTCTAGATTAGCTATTAATAATGTTTCAAATAGGTCGTGATTTTTGTGAATATAACGGTCTGACCACCAGTAAAAGCTGGTAGATAGGAGAGTTGGAACTAGAAAGTACTGTTTACTATGTTATTCATGATTCTTGTGTTAACTCTCCTATAGTAATATCTTTAAGAGTAACCTTTAAAATTACAGTATCCTGAACCTAGCATTCATTTAAACAGCTTTATCCTAAAATTTGAGGGAATGTATACATAGTTTTAAATGTTGTCAGTATTCTTTAGTTCAGATATTGGGAAACTTGATCTAATAAAATTTTGAATTCAGAAAAGAGTAACAGTTCAGACAGATATGAGTTTCTATTTACAAATGACACAAGTAGTTCTCTTATAAATATAACTGTAACATAAGGCTGGACTTATATTCAATATGGATATTAATGTATATTTTTAACTGCATTTTAACTAATTATAATAAATATAAGGAGACATAAATTACATTGTGTTTTGTCTGATTCAAATGGATCAGTAAAGCTGCACTGCCTCTTACGACAGTGACATTTATTAATGAATTTATTAATCCAGGAATGTACAAACCATTCTAAATCTCAGTTTACTAAATTTATACTCAATCTTTTATTCCCATGCGGATTCACATCAGTCATGTAGTACCATTGTGCACACTTACATTTTCTTCAAAAGGAAGTTAAACCCCAGCTGTCTAACTATTGGCATTCTTAGATTTTAAAGCTATGTGTCCCATTTGTCTAAGTTGCATTTTTCCCAGGTACTAATAAATCAGATTGGAAGACTAATGAGCCGCTCGCTTCCTGTAAGCGTAGTACTCACAGGGGCAGAGTATGCCTGTCCTACAGAGTTGTCACGAGTTTGAGTTGACTTTACAGGCAGAGAGTTTGAGTTTTGGACTAAATCAAAATACAACTTCTCATAAGTCATAGTCATACAGACATTTTCTGTTTCAAAAGTATTTTGTATTTTCTACATTGAGTTGCTGATTATATTGATTTGATTTGATATGTATCTGTATTTAATTTTTTGGTATTATTTGTAAATTTGAAGGAAGAGAAATAACCACATTTATAAGAATTAATCGTATGTGAAGAAAAAATAAAATTATTTATCTGCATTCTGGGTTTTCATATCATTTGGAAAGATCAAAATAAATATTTAAGGCTATCTCTATTTTCTGCATTATTATCTTTAAAGTTTGCCTTTGAAATTCTCTACTTTATATCAAATTAAAGCAAAATAATAATACATTTTCTTTCACTTGCCCTTTTAGAGATCCATTGTTCCTCTCAGTAGCTGGTTTTTTTCCAGTCCCTAATATGTGTGTGAACGTTGTACAGTAAACAAGGAAAACTGGAAAAGAATTGTGGAATTTGAGTTATGATATTGATGTAGAACACTGAATGGACCACGGCTTTCTAGGGGGGGTGGCGGGAATCTCTCTTGACACAAGTAC